CCCCGCCCCGCCACCCCCCGTCACGTGACCGGCGCGCGCGCGGGGCTGCGGCAGGTGCGCGCGCCCAAGGTCACCCGCCCGCGGCGCTTCCCGCGCCCGCCCGCACCGGATCCCGCCCGCCTCTGTCCCTTCGTGCCCTCTTCTCCTGACGCGGGGGACAACACGCCGGTCGAGGGAGGGGGTTGTCCCGCTCTGCTGGTGCGGCCTCACCTTGAGTCCTGCGCGCATTTTTAGGCGCGACGGTATAAGAAAGATAGTGAGGGGTTAGCGTGCAGAGGAGGGCGGCGGACGTGGTGAAACGCCTTTGGAGGAGCGGCTGAGGGCACTTGGTGTGTTCAGCCTGGAGGGGTGTGAGGGGAGAGCTCATCGCAGTCTAAAACTTCCTCGTGAGGGGAAGCAGAGGGGCAGCTCCGATCTCTGCTCTCTGGCACCAGTGACAGAACCGAGGGAACGGCTGGAACTGTGGCCGGGCAGGTTTAGGGTGGCTGTCAGGAAAAGGTTTATTCCCCCTGAGGGTGCTGGGGCACTGCCCAGGCTCCCCAGAGAAGGGTCCCGGCCCTGAGGCTGCCAGAACTCCAGGAGAGCTTGGACACCGCTCCCAGGGCCAGGGTGGGATTGTTGAAGAGTTCTCTGCAGGGCCAGGAATTGGACTCGATGGTCCTTGAGGGTCTGTCCTGTGACTGTGTGACCCTGCTGGGGACTTTGTTCGGGTCACTCATCAGGGCCACCCCGAGGGGCTTGTGGAGGGACAAAGGTGGCACCAGGAGCCTCCCCTCGCCCTCGGTGCCCCCGCAGGGCTGCTCTCCCAAGCTCCCCTCTGCCTGGGGTGTGTTCCAGGCAGGAAAACCCCGGTTTTAGTCATCCCCGGGGGTTTTGGGGCTTCAAACCAAAAACCTGACACTGGTCTGGTTCTTGTGACGTGCTTTTGGAATCGTAGCAAGGCTCGGGTTGGAGGGGACCTCAGAGATCATCCAGCTGCACTCAGTGTTGTTCTGCTTGAGGGCTGTACCCTGGTGACATTGAAATGATCAGGCTGCAGGCTTGGGCATGGTAGAACTCAGAGCAGCTAAAACCAAATTAAAAAAAAATTCCTTGGCTGGTTCTTCCAGTTTTGGCACAGTATTTGCCCATTAGGACTGGTCACCTTGTTGGAAACAGGAAACACAAACCACTTGTCCCATGCTGCTTGCACTGCTTTGTAAGCTGCTTATTTACTGCATGTTCTTAGTTTGTAAATCCTAAAAGTACAGGAGGCAGGATAAGTGATGGGAATATCTCACTGGAGTGGTTTGGGTTGGAAGGCACCTTAGAGATGATCCAATTCCAGCGCACATTGCATGAGGCCTGGTTAAATAAGTGGGTTTTGCTCTGAAAGTGTTTTTGTTTGCTCCTGGGCCTTAGTCACTGTCTGGTGCCTTGTGAGAGCCCTGACCAGGTCTGGCTTCCTGAGCTGTAGGTGAGTGCCAGGCTCCAGGTTATTCCTGGGGTATCATCAGCTCCCCTCCATGGATAACCTCCAGGTTATTCCCTGGAATATCAGCTCCCCTCCATGGATAACCTCCAGGTTATTCCCTGGAATATCAGCTCCCCTCCATGGATAACCTCCAGGTTATTCCCTGGAATATCAGCTCCCCTTCATGGATAACCTCCAGGATATTCCTGGGGTATCATCAGCTGAGCAGGCTGGGCTGTTGCAGAGTTTGTTCCCAGTCACAGGCTGTGATCCTTCAGAGCTGTAAGCAGATTAGGAGGAATTGGGGGTTAATCAGAGAGGGAAATTTTCTTTATTCTCGTGCCCCAAAAGCGCTCAGAGGGAAGATGAGAGTGTAGAACAAGCTCAGCTGCTGCAGCCCTCAGAAGGAAGCTCTGGTTTGAAGCTGTTGTGAGAGGCAGGGCTGGATGGGAAGTTATGAATTCAGCTGCTTTTGCAGGCAGAGATTTTCAGAGAAAGTACCTCAGGAAGCTGTAAGCCTTGCAGGTGTCTTGGCATGGGTAGGCAGGGGCCTTGTTGAGTGTTATTTGTTGTAATTAATTAATACTTGGGGCTGGTTTGGATGGAGGAAGGTGCTGATCTTGATCCTTTTGTCCTGCAGCTGTTGGGGGCTGTGCTGAGGTGTTGATCAGAGCTATTAATCAAACACCAGATTGTTTATGTAGGCAAAGAGTTTGTGCTTTTGTTGAGTTTTGGTGGTTTTAAAATACCTGTGCATGCTTTTTTTACTAATCCTGAGTTGATTTGCTCTGGCAGCAAGTATGTTTATGGCAAAAAAGAATAAATTAGCAATGAGAATTCACCCAGGAAGTAGTGAGGCAGAACACTTGGTTCAAACTTATTATCCAGCTGCAACTTCTGAGGAGTCATTATCCCACTTTCTGCTCCCGAGGTGATCCCTGTGGGGAATTCTGCTGCTTCAGGGCTGTTTCACCTGGCAGGATCTCACTGCTCCTGGTGGACAGACTCTCCTGCCCCAAAGCCAGGCTGGTGGCTTGTGCAGTCACTGGCTGTGCTGGAGTGGCTTTGCATTCCAGCAGGGATGGGCTGTGGTGTCCCCAGACTGTAAATTTGGAGCTTTATGGAGCTGTGGGCTTTGGGGTGGTGTCAGCACGTGTGAGCTGAAAACATTGAGGAGCAGGAGGGGAGACTCAGCAGGGTCTGCAGCTTCTTCCCAAGAGGCAGCAGCAGCCTCTGCTCTCTGGGAGCAGGGGCAGGGCCTGAGGCTGGAGCTGTGCCTGGGAGGTTCAGGTTGGAGAGCAGGAAAGGTTCTTGTCCCCGAGGGTGCTGGGCACTGCCCAGGCTCCCAGGGCATGGTCCTGGCTCCCAGAGCTCCAGGAGGGTTTGGACACCACTCCCAGGGGTGCACAGGGTGGGGGTGTTGGGGTGTCAGTGCTGGACTCAATGGATCCCTTCCAACTCAGGATATTCTGTCCATTTTATACATTTCTATGAATTTAATAACTGTTAGGACCAAAAGTTTTGGGTTGGAGTGTGGGTGAGACCTTGGGAAAGGGCTGGTGATGCAGCTGAGCGTGGGGGCAGAGCACTCACCCATCCTGCCTCACAGCTGTCCTGCACCACACCACATCTGGATTTTTGTGAACTTTGGCCCTGCTCAGTGTCTTCAAACCACGGAGGATCCCAAGGCAGAGGATTCCTGGCTTTTGGTGTTCCATGTGTATAAACCAGGGCTGTGGATTTCCATAGAGCTGCTGGGGCTGGCTTGAGCTACCCAGCTTTGCTGTTGCAGTCCATGTAGGGTGACTACAAATAATTCATGGTGGAACTGGAAGGTTTCAGTGACCTCCCTCTGCAGACAGCTTGGTGTTCCCTCAGAACACAGCTGGTACTTTTACAAGGATGCAAAATCGATTAAACTTTTATACCAAGCTATCAAATTTAGTTAAAAACACCCCAAAACAAACCATAACCTCAAATGGTGGTTAGTGAAGAGAATGTTGCTAACACATACCAAAACTTTATTGTGAATATAGCAGTAGATCAGCTGGTTTTACTTTGCTATTAGGAAATTAGAATTACTTATTTTCCTTAAAAATAACAGCACAGCAGAGGGGTTTGTGTCCTGTGTGTGGAGAGGGCAGGGGGTGGTGGGGCCACCTTGGCCAAGGCTGGCTGGGCCCAGCACAGACCTGTTGCTGTGAGCTGGCTGCTGTTCCACAAGGCGCTGAGCCCGTGCCAGGAGCCAGCGCTGCCAGGGCGAGCTGGGGGCACTTTTCCAATCCTTGAGGGAAACTCGGTCATGCCCAGCCGGCCTGCTCTGAGAGAGGGCAGGGTGCAGGTCCTGCCCTGCTCTGGGGAGGGCTGGCACGTCCTTTAGCACGGTGATAACACAGCAGAGGCTGCTGCTGTGACACTGAGGGCTGTCTTTGCCTCGCGTGTCACCAGCTCGGTTGTTTGCTGGCTGCTCAAGGAGAAGCTTTGATCAGCGCTTAACAGTTGGTCTGTTCTTGTGAAAGACAAGACTCGTGTCACGTCTCTGCTTGTAATGTAGGAACAGGGTTTGCCTCAGTGGAACAAGGCTCCTAGGTGCTGTGTGCTATTGAATTTTGTCACTTTGGCTGGTGCACAAGGGTTGTGACATGATGTCCTATCACAGAGAAGTGAATCAAAGGGGAAAGGGACAGGCTGGTTTTGTCAGTGAGCTGCCCTGCTCCACAGGAACTTCCAGTTGCAAGGCTTTCACTTCCCTGCTACTCCCAGTGCACCTGCAGCTCTTCCTGGGGGTGGCTGGGCTCTCCCTGCCATTACCTGCTCCTGAAAAGAGCAGGTGAGAGGAAGTTTAGGGGGTTTTTTTGCTAGGAGAAATTCAACTGTGCACGTATAAGTGGGGATGCAGGAATCCCCACCAGCCTCAGCTGTACTCAGGTATAGGTGAAGGCAAGTAGAAGGCAAAGCAAGGTCCATTTTGTTCTCTTTGAGGTCTGATGGAGAACCTGAGGGCATCCTCCAAAAATAAACTTTCCCAGTGCTTGTCTGTGCAGAGCCATGGAGCCATTAACAGCAGAGTTTTTCACAGAATCACGCAATCTGCTGAGCTGGAAGGGAAGCCCAGGGACCATCAAAGCCCTGCAGAGACACCCCAGCAATCCCATCCTGTCCCTGAGAGCGGTGTCCAAATGCTCCTGGAGCTCTGACAGCCTCGGGGCTGGAGGAGCCTGGGCAGTGCCCAGCACTGTCTGGGGAATAAACCTTTCCTGATACCCAGCTTGAACCTCCCCTGACAGCTCCAGCCTTCCCCGGGTCCTGCCCCTGCTCCCAGAGAGCAGAGGTTGCTGCTGCTCCTCAGGGTGAAGCTGCAGACAGCTAGGAGGGTGTTTTTTGGGGTTGATTCTTGGCACTGACAAGGGCCAAATGTTGAGGTGGCTCTAAGCAGCCTTTAATTACTGAGTAAATGACTGCTGGAAGTTTTGGCACACCCAGGAGTTGATAAAGAGCTGCAGAGCTGGCAGCCTGGCACGGAGCTCCTGTAGCACCTACCCAGGGTGTTGGGCGTGCTGGGACAGGAAACCCTGCAGATTTGGGTGCTCTGTGCAGAGGAAGAGTCAAATCAGTTTGAAGCAGTTCAGTTTGGGGTTTAGCCATGACTTTCTCACCTGCCCAGCACTATCTGGAAACTGGGTTGTACAGTGGTTTCACAACTGCTGCTGGATTAGTGCTGCTCTGTTAATTAGTACCTGCTGCACAGGTTTGACTTCTGTCTCAGGCCTGAGCATGGCAGTTGTGCTTTTGCTTTCACCCCACAAGAAGGTGCTGGCAGCCAAGTGAGTGTTCTGTGGCGAGTGAGGGAGGAGCAGAGAGCAGGGATGGAGGAAGGGTTGGTTTCATCAGCAGCTTTGGGTATGGTGCCAGCTTTGTAGGTCCTGGTA